TTAATTACGTTTATATCAAGGTGTCGATTATTTGTTTTAAAAGCTTCGAGCATTAAAAATAAAGTGGCTATTTTTTTTAGACTGGTTAGAAATTTGTTGTGAATTTTGTTGTGAATTATGTTGGATATGTTAAAATGTGAAAGTGGTGCTTGAGCGATCTTTATCAATGGTAAATTTTTAGAGAAAAAAAGGTGGTTTGTATCTCGTTGATTTGTTGATTGAATTGGTAACTCACTTGATTGATTTATTTAATTGAAAATTTACGTCCAATCCATTGAGTGAGGTGTTTGAGAACGGCCTAAATTCAATAAAATTTTTTTATTTGAATTCTATGAATCAATAGGATTCTAAAAAAAAAAGTTTTATCAAATTTGATTAGACGATTATCGAGATATCTTCGCTTAAGTTAGAGCAAAAATTTGGCGGTATTCTTATTTTGATAGACGTTTTGATTTTTCTCTAATTTTAAGTGAAGATGTCTTGATAACCACCTGGCTTATTCTATGAAATTTTTTTTATTTGAAGTCTATAAATCCATAGAATTCAAATAGAAAAGTTTTACGATAAAATTTCTTAGATTTCACGAAAATAGATACAGGAGTATCAAAAACGAATGTTTTGTCTTCAAACATTATAACTTTGAAGACGATGCGCTTAACACTAAGTTATTCATTTTCTTACTAATTTACTAATAAAAAAATTCTTAATTTAAAATTTAAAATTTATAAAATTTATAAAATTTTATCATTATGAGCTATTAGTGATGACTGTCACACGCCGTGATCTATTATAAAAAATTTGATTTTTCATAAATTATTAAATGCGACAATTAATATCACCTATTTTTAATATCGGTAGCCCTATCACTAGTTATCATCTTATTTAAAAGAAATTTCGATAATATTAACTATAGAAAACTTAAGGTTCTTTATAAAAATAACAACAATAATAATAATGTAAATAAAGATAACTTTCAGACTTGCTACTAATTAGAATAATTGAGCCAAACTGTACTGTATTATAAACATTATCATTCTTAGTGATTTTTTAATACTTCTACTCTGATCTGCTTGCAAACAAGCAGAAACTTCATTTCCTCCAATATCCAACGGCTCAGAAAATTTTATTACCATAAAACTCAGAAAATAAGCACTTACGGTGAATAAGCACATCTATAATAAAATTTTATGTTCTATAAATAAGTTCACTTATATACTGTAAAGTAACTACACAATATTGCCGAATCTCAAATTAATTAGTCGGTGAATAAGCACTCCCATTAATTAAAAAAAAGTGTGCTTATTTACGAGTTTTACGGTGTCAACACTAAACCCACCTCTATATTGGGTTCAATAGACGATGTGTTTGGAGTATGAAGACTCTAAAAAATGTGATAAAGCGAAGCAATAAGGGATGTTGAAACTATTAACGTTTTAATAGAGAATTCAAGAATAAGGCTTTGAAAGAGGCTAGCAACTCTAGGGTATATGAAGATACCAAAGAGTTGTATAATTTTAGAAACTAACACAATACAATCTTGTGTTCTTTTGCCTTGTCACATGTTCACATGATAACTACAGTTTCTCTTTATGTTTATTTTAGGCTTCAATTGGATGTGTATGAAGACACAATCTGGCTTTATTAAGTAAGGAATAAAATAAAAAATATAAAAGAGATAGTTAAATGAGAATTCGAACTATCTAAACTATTACTCCAGGTATCGAAGTCTCCAAGTAAGATTAAGGCGAATTTGAAGGTCTTAAATACATTCAAGAAAACTAAGCTAAGTAACACTTCCAATATTACCTTTTAATACTAAGTTGATCCAATTTATTAGTTATTAATAACTAATTATTGATCCCTTTATTTAGTACAAAGTTTGAAATTTAGAACAAAACTTTTGTACTGCGTTTATACATTGTGGATCGGTAGATCCCTTGATCCACATTGGGGTCACATATAGGTTCATTTACTGCGGTTTGGTTTCCGTGTGACAATTTCTCCCCAACTAATTTATGAGCTCCTGTGAATAAGTATTTGGCGGGTTGGTGGCGGTAGTAATATGTATTGACTTTAAACATTCCATTAGCATTGTGGAATAATAAATAATGACCAGTAACAATTACCAATCATAAATGTCCCATTAGCATCATGGACAAGCCAATGAACATTACAATCCCTAGTGGGATTTATCTTGTCAAATATCATAAATATTTTTATGACTTTCCATCTGTCTATTAGTTTCTGGCCCATATCCCGGATAAAACTAGACAATATTTGTTCTAGTAAATTGAACTTTGGCATTAATATGTTCAGAAAATCTTCCATATTAACCAGAATCGTTGCAATGTTCCATAAACATTTCCTTTACCCTCTCATGGTATATTTTAAGCAGGAGGGTATTTTGTAGAACATCCAACACTTGATTATCAAGTGTATGTAACCGATACACATCTTGTGCAACTTTTTCATGTATCACAAAAGGGCCAAGCCATCGTGGTAAGAATTTTCCAGTATGTTTACCTTGTTGGGCAGCATCAAATAACAGTACTTTATCACCCTTCTGGAAAATTCTTCTGACCTTTTTCAGTTTTCTGTCTCAATAGAACTTATACCTTTTTTGGGCTTTGGTTATATTATCTTTCGCAGTCTCTCTGTTAGAGGGTACTTCTTCCAAGATCGCGTTTAGTCTATTAAGCATATTGTCATTAACCTTATTTTCTTCTCTGAAGTTAGGAATCCTTGCTTCTCGTCTATAAGTAAGGTAGAATAGAGTAAATTTCGTTGAAGCCTGTTTGCTTGTCCTATACGTATACAGGACCAAAGGTATTAAAAAGTCCCATTCTTGCTCTTGTTTGATTAATTTTGCTAACGCCTCATATAATATTCAGTTATAGCATTTAACCAACCCGTTGGTTTGTGGGTAGTAAGATGTTGACATTATATACTTGATTTCAAAATTTCTTACCAAAAATTTTATAACATCATTATTAAAATGTGTTTCTCTATCTGAAATCAGATAGATAGGGCATCCATGGCGACAGACGATTTCATTAAAGATAAAATGGGCTGTTTGCTGTGCATCAGCATTGGGTACGGCCTTAGCTTCAGGCTATTTTGTCATGTAATCCACAGCAACGATTATGTAACAATTGCCACTTGTCGTTACTTTTAATAGTCCAACGAAGTTAATTCTGATTTTGTAGAATAGGGCTTCCACAGGTATAAGTTGTAAGGGTCCTCTTGTTCTATATTTCTCTTGTTTTTGGCATTGATCGCATGTTCTTACATATTCTCTAACATGCTCATACATTTGTGGCTAATAGTACTTCTCACAGATTTTGTCAAACATCTTTTCGACTCCTATATGCGCACCTAAAGGATGAGTGTGTGTAATATATAAGATAGGGTCAACTTCCTCTGTTCTGATTACTCTAAGTAATTGGTTCCGGGTTTTTCTTCTTCTATCCCTCTTATACAACAAGTGGTTGTATAGGGTATAAAACTGGCTCTGTGACTCAAGTTGCTTCCTCTATTTCAAGTTAAATTTAGGCGGATATTTGGTCTTTTCTAAAAATTCTTTAATATCTTGGTATTTGCTATTTTCCATTTCCCTAATTGTAAATTTTTCTCTTCTCTTTTTTTTTTTCAAAGATTAAAACAAAATAATTATTAATAAGTTGTATAGTAGCAGGGACCAACTTGCAAAGTTTTACGTCATTTATGGATAGGGAAGAATGAAGATTTTATTCAAACAAATTGAACAGGGTTTGGAACTTCCCACCAAACTGAATTACAAAGATAAGTATCTTTGAAGTTATTAAACTCCTCATAATGTCTCTTTAATGGAGTTTTCAATGGTTCTAACCACCATGGTTGGTTTGTGAAATTGTCTTCACCTTCCTCAATTTGCTCATTAATTTGAACCATTAGGTCGTCCAAGTGAATTGGAGTTTTATCCAACCATTCATTCACGGTATAATTAATACCTAGACTTGATTCCAAGGTGGTTTCTTCTTCATCTCCAGTGTCAGGTGTTGCTCAGTAACTTTTGGCAACTTCTTGGATGAAATAATTTTTAATGGTGATCCATAACTTTAGATCACATTTACACTTGGTGCAATCATCTTCTGGTGAGTATAATTTATCACTACACCAGAATTGCGCATTGGGACCTTTCCAGTCATATTCCCAATGTTTACCTTTTGTTTTCTTACCCAACCTAGCACTTATGTGCTTAATATAGTACCAGGTACAATACTGATCGTCATATCTTATTCCTGTTGGTGTAAATTTTACTCGTTCATAGGGGTACAAACCCAAAAGCGTATGTTCCGGTGGGTTTGGTTTTAAAAGTTTTCTTACCTCCTGATATTTCTTTTGAGGTGGAGTACTAAAAACTTCTTCATCTATTGTTACTTCATTGCTTAGGCCTATGAAATACACAGGTTGTATTTCTTCTTCTTCATCATGCAGCCTTGATAATGAATCTGCTTTATTGTGTTTTTTCCCAGCACGATGTATAATCATAAAATTATATAGTTCAAGTCTTAGGATCCATCTGGCATGTTTACCCTTAAGCTTAGATGTCCTTAATCATTGAAGCGCCAAGTGATCCATTACTAGGAAGAATGGTTTAGATCTCAAATACTGATGGAAATGTTTTACAGCCCAAATAACTGCTAGACATTCCAATTCAGATATGGAGTAATTTTTTTCATGTCTATTTAAACTTCGGTTTGCATAGGCAATTACATACTCTTTATTCTTTTCATCAAGTTGGAATAATACAGCTCCCAAACCTTAGGTTGAAGCATCTGTATGAAGATAAAACGGCTTACTAAAATCTGGGTACTGCAAAATCAGCACAGTTATAAAGTGATTCTTTAGAGTATTAAATGCCTTATTTTGTTCTTGGCCCCATCTATAAGGTTCATTCTTTTGTAATAGCTAATTTAATGGTTTGGCTGTTTTAGAAAAGCCTTGGGTAAACCTTCTATAATAGGATGCCAGTTCTATAAAGGCACGTACTTGCCTAATTGTGGTAGGTATTGGGAAGTTTTTAATTTTTTCTACCTTTCCTTCATCAGACAGAATTCCTTCTCGCCCGATCATGTGACCTAAGAATTTTATTTGTTTTAAACAAAATACACATTTTTCCGAATTACATTTTAGGTTGGCTTTCTCCAAATATTCAAGGACTTGTTGAAAATGCAAAAGGTGGTCTTCAAACGTCTTCGAATATATGGTGATATCGTCAAGATACACTACTACAAACTTATTAATAAAGGGCCCTAGCATGTGATCTATTAGTCTCTGGAATGTGGAGGGTGCATTACACAACCCAAAAGGCATGACATTAAATTGGTAGGTTCCAAATTTCGTTATAAATGCAGTTTTCTTTTTGTCTTCTTCTCTAACTGCTACCTGCCAATATTCATTTGCCAGATCAAGACTGGAGAACCACTTGGCACCATCAAAGACTGATAGAATTTCTTGGATATTAGGTAAAGGATACACGTCCTTTTTGGTTACCGTGTTCAACTTACAATAATCGATACATATCCTTTTTTTATTATCTTTCTTAAATACAATTACCACTGGTGAAGCCCAAAGGCTTTGCACTTCGTTTATTATGCCTTGCTCTTCCATTTTTCCCAGCTCTTCTTGTAGGAATTCTTGTTTATCCAGGGCTATGCTATAATGTCTTTGCTTGATTGGTCTGGTATTCCCAGTATTTATTTCATGACAAACTAAGTTAGTTTGATCTAAATCTATAGTTTGTTCACTTTTACTTATCTTTTGAGCGAAGATATGGGAATTTTCTTGTAATAAGGCTTTAGCTTGTTCATATTGTTCTATTTCTAGTTCTCTATTTAGGTTAAATTCAATTTTAACTTGTTTTTCTTCTACAGCATCAGTCAAATATATGGCCGGGTTATCTTTAACCCATGGGTTATAAAAGGGGTCATCATCATCTGATTTAATAGTATCAGAGTAAAAGACTTCTTGGATTTTATCTTCCTTTTCCTCAAGTTCGTCAATCCACTCGTCTTCATTAGTGAACTCTTCGAACTCTTGGGGTGGGGTTTGATTAATAACATGAATAGCGTCACTATTATCTGTTTATCCAGGTATTTAACATGTAATATATTTTTATAAAAATCTAGTTTTGCCTTAGATTTATCTATCCAATCTGTTTTTAATAACAAAGTCTCTTTCTGAGATTCTATTACCTGTAGGTCGATTGGGATTATTATATCTTGTAGTGTTATTTTTACACTACTTATTACTCCAAAGGCCTTAACCCTATTCCCATTAGCCATTATAACTATTGTCTTTGAAGGTTTATCTGTTGCTAATTTCAATTTCTCCATTAACCTTCTAGTTATTATACTTACGGCTGCCCTAGAGTCCAAAATAGTGACAACTGGGGTTCCTTTAATGCGAATATGTCATTGCATGGCAATCGTTTTTCATGGATTATCCAATATTATGTGATTAGCTTCACTTTTTCCTTTTTAAAGCTTTAGCTAAATTCTATTTTTGGTTTGGGTATTTAAATAATTGACTATAAGTAGCTTGTGCCCTTGTACTTAACAAATCTTTTGATATATCATAGAGCCTAAGCTTATCAACCTCCGATAGTAATCATTTCTTAACAATTTTTTTAGGTTTGTCTACCTCCATCAGAACTTCCTCTTCTTGCTCTGATTCAGCTTTTACTTGAACTTTGGGGGCTTTGTTAAGCAAGGCCTGCTCTTTCTGTGATTCGCTTTGCTTCTGCTTTTCTTTTTGCTCCTTCTGATTAGTACTATAAGGTTGGGGGCGAATTACATATAATTCATCATCGCTATCACTACTTTCTTCCATGATGGCTAAGTTAATATTAATGGATTTATCTTTCTTTCCATTATCTTTAGGTTTCTTTTTTATCTTATATTGCGGTTCTATTACTACTGTCTTCTCAGAGAGGCAATTCTTCGCAAAATGCCCAAGTTCACCACATTTAAAACACATGACATCTTTTAGATCATGTTTCTTAGACAATTGGTGCGACTTTTTCTCTGTTTGAGCTACTAATGCTGACGCTATTGTGGCATAATTTAAGCTCATTTGTTGCATTTGTTTGGTAAGTTGCTCAATTTCTTTCTCATAATTTCTATTTACTGGAGGTTGACTAGGGCCAGCCTCTACAGAAAACTCAACTCCTTGTTCGTAATACTGTGCGAATTTTATAACATCTTCAACCATCATGGGGTTCTGTAGCATAATCATAGGCAAGACTTCTGGGTGCAGCTCTTTTCTAAAATAATATAATGCCTGTTCATCTTCTAATTTCATTCCAATTTTTACCCGCTTAACTAATCTATTGAATCTTCCATTATAAGTGTCAATAGATTCACTGATTTGCTGTTTCAAGTTATTCAATTCATTTAACCAATAGGTCTGCCAACAGATGGTGCAAAAATGTGTCTTGAACTCCTTTTCAAGAACCTCATAGTCAGCATCATTAAAATTTGTTATTTTGTTCTTATCAAAGTAAGCCTTTTGCCATTCATCCGCATTATCTAACATAAATGCGGGGAAGATTTGAATCTTCCTCTTAACACTCCAATTATTAGCAGCGGTGGCTTTTTCAAACCTTTCTAACCACTCTAAGGGATCTTGGGAACCATTTCCTAAGAAAGGTTTGATGCGTACTAAAATGGTCTCTTTGGCGTTTTTCTTAAGGTAATTTAGAACGTCTGTGGCTGAAGTCATATTAACTGTACTACTGTTGGAAGTAAGAAGAGCAAATGGATTGTTCCTGAAACAATAAGTATATACTGCTACATTAGTAATAACCTTTACTATATCAAGTAAGTTTCCTGGGGTTTTAGTATATACTATACTAAAAATTAGTTTTACAATCGTATTTCGACAACGTGAGGATTGAGGTTGCTAATAGTCAACTTCTAGATTTTTGAAGTATTCGCACGTTTTCTGGGTGAATACTTCCGCCGAATAAGTAAGGGAGTACCAATTTATAAATTGGTTGAAGGTTTGTAAGACCTTTTTCAGAATTGGATAACAAAGGTCACAGGAGTCTTTCTTGTTACTCTTATGTAACACTAAATGGTTTATTACTCCGGTGTTTTCTCTCAGAGTAAAACTCATGCCAATTTATAAATTGGTTGAAGGTTTGTAAGACCTTTTTCAGAATTGGATAACAAAGGTCACAGGAGTCTTTCTTGTTACTCTTATGTAACACTAAATGGTTTATTACTCCGGTGTTTTCTCTCAGAGTAAAACTCATGCACTAATTCCGTGCAACTTCCTTTCTTTTCTATTAGATGACTTAGAGAATTCTTATCTCACAGTCACCACCAAAAATGTCAACACTAAACCCATGATGCGTTTGGAGTATGAAGACTCTAAACAATGTGATAAAGCGAAGCAATAAGGGACGTTGAAAATATCAACGTTTCAATAGAGGATTCAAGAATAAGGCTTTGAAAGAGGCTAGCAACTCTAGGGTATATGAAGATACCAAAGGGTTGTATAATTTTAGAAACTAACACAATACAATCTTGTGTTCTTTCGCCTTGTCACGTGTTCACGTGATAACTACAGTTTCTCTTTATGTTTATTTTAGGCTTCAATTGGACGTGTATGAAGACACAATCCGGCTTTATTAAGTAAAGAATAAAATAAAGAATATAAAAGAGATGGTTAAATGAGAATTCGAACTATCTAAACTATTACTCCAGGTATCGAAGTCTCCAAGTAAGACTAAGGCGAATTTGAAGGCCTTAAATACATTCAAGAAAACTAAGCTAAGTAACACTTCCAATATTACCTTTTGATACTAAGTTGATCCAATTTATTAGTTATTAATAACTAATTATTGATCCCTTTATTTAGTACGAAGTTTGAAATTTAGAACGAAACTTTTGTACTGCGTTTATACATCGTGGATCGGTAGATCCCTTGATCCACACCGGGGTCACATAGGTTCATTTACTGCGGTTTGGTTTCCGTGTGACAACGGTACAAACATTTAAACTAGCTTATAATTTTCTACAGTAGCATATATGTAAACAATAAACAGAACGCTTTATACAACTCATTTTCCGTAATATAATATAAACACCTTTGTGACTAGTTTATTAATATAATTTTCATAATTTACAACCAAGAACTAAAAAATATTCACTACAATGTTAATACTATATATATTTTTTACACAACTAAGCAAGGAAGTTATAATTCATTTAACACGTTTTCATGTAATCTTCAGCAATTAACCGACTCGCTCTCCAAGCAACCATGGCTGTAGGTGCATTAGTGTTTCCGCTTGGAATAAATGGAAATATTGAAGCATCAACAACTCGAAGATTTTTCGTACCATAAACTTGAAGTCGATGATTAACTACTCCATCTTTAGATTCTGGTGACATTTTCACTGTTCCACTTGGATGGAACGATGTTGTCTAAGCACGAATAAGATAGAAATGATAATAAGAACTTTTTATATAAAAACACATTTATCTATAAAACGGTAAAAAAATAATTTAAGTACGTGCCCTACTCAAAATAAGCTTTTCCCAGTCTTCATCACTCATATCATCTCCGTTAGTGCACCATTGTCCAAATTCATCATTAATTCCAATTTCTTTAACATTATAAATAGTACTTAATGGAGGTTGTTTAAGTATTTCACGACATAATTTAAGTGAACTTATTATTCTATATAAATCATCTGATTTTTCAAAGTAATTTAAATGAATTTTTGGTTTATCAAATGGATTACTGCTGTTAAGTTCCAGATAACCAACGCTTGATGGTATATTAAGAAATGGCATTAGAAAAATCCCATCGAATTTAGAATGTTTATTTTTATAAATCTCTATTGTTGGATCTACAATCCCTTCTTGGTACGGGCCCGCTATTTACATAATAAAATATAAAATCAATTACTGTAATAAAACATAATTACAAAGAATATTTTAACAAAAACATACCAATAATCTGAACATCAGGACTCTCGTCAAAGAAGTCATCTTTGCAAGGAATCTTCCCTTCAACATTAGCTTTATGTATTATTCCAATTTCACATCCATTACTCCAATGATTAATTGCATTTGGAGTTGATTTAGCGACAATAGAACAACCCGGATGATCTAATAGATTTTTTCCTACTGGTAGCTCTTTACGGACCTTTATATTATTTGATTCAAGGTTTTCTTTTGGTCCAATACCAGAGAGCATCAAGATCTTGAAAAAAAAGGAAAAAAAAAATTAGGAAGGGTTTATGATGCAATAACATATCATTATAATGGTTACATACTTGAGGGCTATTAATAGCACCACCACAAAGAATGACTTCTCCTTTCGGAGCAATAAAAGCCTCACGCACGGTACCATTACAAAAATATTTTACGCCGATTGCAATATTTTCTTCTTTATTTTCCTCATCCCAAATAATATTTAATACATGAGCAAATGATCTAACATCTACTGCAGCAACCTTTCCGAAACTACCACATTTCGAATCTTGATGTAATTCGACTTTTTTTAATGCATCTTTTAAATAACTCTCAGCTAAAGAGCATCTTCTCCCATCCTTGTTCGTAAACTATAATTTGTAGCCAACATATTAAAATAAATATAAAGCAAATTTTTGACATATAAATTAGAAAATTTTATTATTAAATACCTGGTATGTTCCAACACCATTTTGTCTTTCTCCATTAAAATCATCATTATAAGGAATACCAATATTTTTTGCTGCATCAATCAAACCTGACATAACATCGTAAATCCCATTATAGCTGTCTTGTACATGAAGTAAACCATCGAATCCATGGAATTTTTTAAACTTTTCATCAGGGTTCTTTCGTGAATTATTTTCTACTGCTTTAAATGCTTTTTATGGAATATATATATGTATGTTTTGAGTGAATTAAATGATTCGAATTAAAATGAAAAATAATAAAAGTCATACCTTCTAGACAATGATCCCAATCCCAAATATTGTATTCGGGACCTTGGGCTGCCCAATCATTATACTCTTTTGCTTGACCTCGCCTAAAAAATAAAATTAAAATATAATTTAAAAATGAAACATAAAAAATAAATACAAGAAATTTGTAAATTCGTGGGACTTGCATGTAAACCATTGCATTCAAAGAACTAGATCCTCCCCAAACCTTTCCGCGTACATAAGGAAGTCCTTCTTTTACCATTTCTTTAGTAGGATCTATAAGGCTTGGAATTCTTTGTTCCTGAGTAACATATCCCCAGTCATTGTCACTCATTTGGAAAGCCTATATTACAAAATAGCATGAGCAAACCAATTAATGTGATGACTACCGCACAATTCAACAAATGACTTTAACCAAGTCACCTTCAAAAAAGCCAATTTAAAAAAAGCACATGGTAAACTAATTAGACTGTTAGAATGGGCATCGGGACCTCCAGCTTCTAATACTATGATGTTAATATTTGGAATGCAATGAATTAATTCTCTAGCAAGCACGCATCCTGCAGTACCAGCTCCCACAATAATAAAATCATAAATTTCTTTAGTTTTAAATTTTGCATGTTTATCATTATCGCAAACATTTTTAATCCAACATTCACGAATTTTAGCATCATTCATTAAATCCTCTTGATTTTTCTCAACTACGCTCATATTTTATGTTATGATCAACAACGATCGTACTGTTGCATAACAAACAGTGAACCTTATTTATATATGAGAACGCCAACGTGACTTTTCGAAAGCAGGAATTCTTTCATTAACACAAAACTCCAAAAAAAACGTACTGTACGTACGTACGTACGTACATGAAAAATTCTTGTACGTACATACATTACTGCTATTTTCATAATTTCTGGAACACCTGATAAAAATTAACCGAATGATGTTCGGGCCGATTTGATTAAGTTATTCGATAATCTATGTAATTTAAGATCAAGTGACTAATATATCTCTGATGAATACGGGAATGCAGAAAAACGATACAGAAAAAATTTAGAAGGCCTATCATTTCGAAAAATTGCCAACCATTTAGGTGTTAGCATATCTTCTATAAGTCAGGTTCTTAAGCAGTTTCAAAGATATGAATATGTTGAAACACTTCCGTCGTTTTTAACCATGCTCAAGCATGAACGATGTAAAACATTTAATATTGTGGGAAAAACCTGACTGGTATTTTTATGAATTACAGTCCGAGATGGAACTTTGAAGGCTATACACCGACTTGGATTTACATATAAAAAAAGTAATATTTCGTTATTTATACTGTATATAAATTTAACAAATATAATAAAATTTTGATCGTTTGGAATCTTAACCCGAAATTCATTTTTAAATAAGTCGACAAATTCATGGTCATATTTGATTTTTTTAATATTTGTTATAAAAGTCCATTATGTTGACATTATCGTTATAATGATCAGTAAAAGAATCGTTATGATACAAAATAGCTTTTATTATACGTACAGATCATGCCGAATTCACAAACTTGACCGAAAAAATCATGTGGCCAGGAATTATGAAATAGAAATTGCACATGCGGTGGCTTCGTCACCCAGTTCAAAAATAATTAGAATACAGTAAAAGTCGGATGATATAACATGACTACCAAATATTAATAATTTTGTTTTTTTTTTAAAGGATTTAAATTACATCTTTATTTTAATGAAAATAGAAAAATTCAGCATTTAATACTTGAGACTAGTTTTTTTTTTCATAAGTCATTGATAAATTCTTTCTATATATTTTCCCGGCCTCGTTTCGTTCAGTAATTGATGAAGACGTATTTGTTAATGAATAGCAAGTAATAATAATGCAAAGTAACTTAGAAAATAACTAGAATTTTTAAATACTGTACCTTATTTACCTAATTTATATTTCTTTATTAAAACGGGTAAGAAATTTGAGTGCAACGCAACTGAACTTTCAAAGAAGTTAAAGTATCTAGGAATTGTTTTAAAGGAAGGATACTAGATGACAATAAGGGAATCTTGATTATCTGACAAAACGATGACACGTATATGATGAATTAGATGCTGCGATCAGTGTTGGCCGATGACTAAAGTCATAGCATTTTTTTTATACATATGACCTTGGTCATATTATCATATAACTTTTGGTTATAAGTCACATCGGTCATATCAAATATTAATGAAAAAAAATTTTTTTTTACTGATTCTTACTATATTATAAGGTCATAAAGTCATATAAACCTTTGTTATAGCCAAATGACTTATGACGGGTCATAAAGGTGCCTTGGCAAACTAAGGCCCCTAATTAGTATTCTCTTGAGAAAAAAAATTTTTTTTTTGAGAATTTCAATACAAGTTACTCGCGTCGTAATACTACACCCTTTATCTTAAGTTATTTTTATAAAAAATATATGATCAAACAGAAACAACATTCGTTATATATATGTACTTATATATAAATTTTATTAAACAAGTCAATGAATAATTTTTTTTTTTTTACCGATAAATATATAACAAAAAGAATCGAAAAAAAAACCAACTTTACTAATTTTTTTTTAACTCGTACTTTATTATATTTTTAAACCAATTTAAATTGTAAGTTAACATGGTCACAAAAAGTGCGCATAAAAATTAAGCCAAAAAATTTACTTTTATTTTGTGAATAGACAAAAAAGAAAAAAAAAACAATAGCTAATATCAACATATCAATTCCATATCAATTCAAATATTACATATATATATTTTCGCTAATAAAAAAAAAAAAAACTTCTGCCAAAAAGAAATATACATGATAGTAAAAAACAAAAGGTTACAATCTACTAATACGTCTACCCATCATTAAGGCATTATCAGATTTATCGTCTGAATCGCGAGGGTGACGAGGTCGGGTATTTTTACCAGGGCGGAATGATTCAGCATTGTCCTATTATTAATAATAAGGAATGAAATTTTTTTTTAATTTATCTGTAAAGTGATATGAATGAATAACGACATTCGAAAATATAAATAAACTTACTTCGAAGAATGACTTAACACGAGTAGGTTTTTTGCCGGTAATTTTCTTGTAATCATCAGAAACGTGATCAGATTTACCTTCTCGAATATGATCCAATTGTTCGAGGCTATTTTTTAAATAAATTATTAATAAATTATAAAGTAGATAGGTTTATATTATTTAACGTAAGTATACTTACACTAACTCAATCTCAAACTTGGACAAAGGTAAGAAAGGTCTAGGATGACGATCATGACGATTACGTTCATCAAGTAAGAATGGAACGACATCAAGACTCTTTTGAATATTTTCGATAACTTCAACGGCATCTTTAATGTTGGATAAAATGATTAATCTATCTTGAGTATCCAATTCAAATCTTTCTATATCAATATTCTTCAATCTCATAATGATATCTCTCATTGTATCAACAAAGGCAGCAACATTCCTATTAAATCTTTCTTCTTGAACGTCTCTGCGTCGACCTGGTCCAGTAATTCTGTCTTGCAAGCCGAGAGTATTTTGATTAGTACCATGATAATTTCTGACGGAAGATTGACGGTTAACTTCTTCGAACAAAGCGGTTGCCGAAACAAGTCGGTGGACACCTTCAATAAAGTTAGACTTTCCACATTCCATAGATTGTTGAGTATTTCTAAAGAAGTCAGCCAGAGACTCGTGCAAAAAGGCCAATCCACGTTGAATTAAATAAATTCCATCACGTTGTTCAAGAAGAGTATCATCAGTAGAATCACACTCAGAATCTTTGACGCGACGATCAAGATCATCTTCATTAAGGCTGCTAAGGTATTCTTCAAGTTGGCGACGATTAACGGAATGGTATTCAACATCACCTCTACCTTCAATGGCACGATTGATTGTCTCGGCAATTTTACGGCCAGATACAAGTTCAGGACCGGACAAGCAATAGACCTTGCCTCGATGTTTTTTGCTGAGTTCAGTTACCACCTTATGATCTTGAAACATTAAGCATGCGACCGCGCAAATCATATCATCAATATTAATAGGAGCCCATTCGTTACTTTCACGAGGAGTCATATTGATTTCCCCTTTGTTTTCAATATTTGGAGACCAGAGGAAGAACTATGTAAAAAAATATATATATATTATTAGCACGCAGACACACGATAGGCATTATTTTTATTTTTTTTTAAAAAAAATAAATTGTAATATTATATTTACAGATTGTTGAAGGAAAGAATTTCTAGAAACGAAAAGAATGATTAGAACAATCAAATAAAACGGAATAATAAATATAATGATAGATTATATAAATTTATATTTACCTGAGCACACAAGCATTCTTAATTCTCTGGCACACATCCTTTTCAATTTCTCTAAATTCGTTCATAATCTTTCCATCACCATCTTCGGCACCTTCCAATGATAAGACAATCGCGTTACAAACGTCCCTATCAGCAGCACACTAAATATAATTTGGTATCCGTTAAAAAAAAAAAAAAAAAAAAAAAAAAAAGATAATTTTAAAAAAAATTTCATTAACATACATCAGCCAAGATTTTAGCTTCTTTAACACGGTTTTTATCGGATTCACTACTGAAAATCAAGAAATCAACACCGTGTAAAGCGTCTCTAATTTGTTCAGGACGATCATAATCGATCTTATGAATTTCACCACCTATACATTCAAGTTTCTTGACATGTTTATTGGTTTCTTGAGCCAAGCAACGGATCGTGACCACGCTACGTTTGCTTTCCATAAGAAGACTCCTAGCGATAACATTACCAAACCAACAATCAGTTGCAGAAACAGCGATCTTGCAGTGATGACGGGTAGGTTCGTTGCCAAGATTTAGATTATTCATGATGATTTTAAAGAAGAATGAATAGAAATGGAAAAGATAATTTTTTCTACAACTGTTGTTGCAATTGTGTGGAAAAACGAAGGAAGAAAGCCAACGTATTTATATCATGGTGTGCAGGGAAAGAGGCATTAAAACGATAAAAGAAAAAAAATTTATTTTTGTTTTCTTTGAAATTTAAATCAGTTAAGTGATCATTTTAATAATTAAGAATGACTAAAAACGGTTTTTCAAAAAATGTGAGATTTAGTGATAAAGGCCATACCTCCTGCAAACTTAAATTGTTAAACTTATTCGGGACAGTGATTTTCCCCAAGAAGGAAAATGTTCATGAGAAAAGTTAGAAAAGTTCACACGAACCTTTAAAGAATATCATACTTTTAACAAATAGAAAATTATTTTCTTTTGCAGTAACTTGGGAAAATCGATATAGACTAAATTTGTTTAAGAATCAGTATCGGTATGACCATTATTCTCAGGGTAACTTGATCGAACTTGATCGAACCACATTATCTTATTACAGATAAGATGATAAATAAACATTCTATAAACCATATAAATCCAGATAAGGTTAATTCGAATCTAAACGTTGTAACTTATCGTTGCATTGTAAATTACAAATAAAGATACTAAAGACTAAACTAATTTAAATTGATAAAATTGAAACTAAAGCAAATCAGCTTTAAGATATTGTAGTATCATCATCAGTTAAAATAGTAACTCTGGATAGGGAACACGGAATTTATGTGATAAGAACTTGTAAATTTATGCGTGCGGTGTAAAAATATGCGATTTGCTGATGATTAAAAATAAAAATACAATTTAATGTTTTTACTTAATAAGCAAAAATAAAATATTTTATCTCGTAAAAAAAACTTTGAATTTTTTAAATACTGCGCTCAACTAATAAAATACTGACTTTTTTTATAAAAGCGTATCAGATTAATATATTAGATATTGAAAAAAACAGCTATTGACAAAATCTACACATAAGTTAGTTAATCTCTCTATAGAAATCATCTTTAAATTCAAGCACTCTACTCAATATAGTTCTTTTTGGGCCCATATCAAAAAATAATAAAATTTTCCTTAAAGACAAATAATTTCGGGGTTTAATACCATTTTTTCTTATTTTAACATACTACTAAAAATATTTTTTGCACTTTAAAAGTTAATTTATTTCGTTAGCATACTATTAAAAACTAAATTATTCCTATTTTAACATACTATATACTAAAATTATTTCCACTTTAACGTACTACTTAAAATTGATTTATTTACTATTATATTATCAGCTCGTTCGGCTCTATTATTAACCGGTTTTTTATAATAGTCAAGCTGATAACGTTCTTATTGAGAATATAACATGTGAAATTATATAATATAAATGATGTATAATTTTGCGATTTTGTTTAATCACACTAAATCACATAATTTCCGTGTCCCTGACTCTGGATCGTATTTTGATCACGTAAATATTTTGTTACCTATTTTTTTTCGTACGTCATGAATGTCCTGTACATTTTTACCAATCATTTTCGGTCATGTGAGAGCAAAACGCGTATTCTAAATTATGTATGCGATTTGAGAATATCGATGATGCTTGTTTTTAACATAAGTGAGAATAAATTTTTGGCCCTTTAAAATTGTATGTCTTGAATGATTAGTGTTAGTGCTTAAGTACACATATGACAATTTGGCTAATGAATTTGCGTTATTTACACAGTATATTTGAATTACTAAATAAAGCGTGTGAGAATAATAATTTTAAATTTTTTAAAATTATCGTCTGTCACGAGTGTCCCGTATATTTTTACCAATATTTTCATTAATGTGAGAGCATTCTTGAAGTATGCCGAATTACGGAATTATTGATTTGGGTCATACTGTTTGAGAAATATGATGCATGTTTAACATGTGTGTGCGAATAAATTTTTGCCTTTTAAAATTGCGTGTCGTGAGTATTTAGCGTTGGCACTTAAGTACCATATCGTATACTTGATTAATGAATTTGCGTTATTCCGGTATATTTGAATTACTAAATACAAGCGTGCGAGAATAATAATTTTAAATGAATTATTACTGTTTATTACACGGCTCCTAATTGTTCACCCATGACCTTTTTACTGATATTCTCACGGTTTAATATTAGTCCGCCGTGAAAATATCAACCGTGAGAATATCAGTAAAAAAAAGTCATGGGTGAAAATTAGGATCCGTGAAATAAAACAGTTATTACACGTATTAGTCGTCGATATCATTAAAATCCCGAATCAATCTCGATATCATTCATCATTGCGGCTGCGCCGCAATACTGAATAATATCTCGATTGATCCGTGATGTTTAATGATATCGACGACAAATACGTGTAATAACTATTGCATAACTCACACCACTGGTTATTAATAATTTTTATTACAATTTAGGATTAGGGTGCAGCTTTAAGATAAAATAGTGGTTTATATAACATAATGTATATTCCGATCTCTGTTCTTGTGATCTGAAAATTTTTACTTAGAACTCGACCATATTTATTTAGTACATTTTCGAAACTATGCCGAATTACGGAATTTTGACTTGCCTTCGGGTGAGAAATGTGATACATGCTTAACGTTAATATATGAGAATAAATTTTTGCCTTTTTAAATGCAAGTCATGAATATTTTGCGTTAGCATTTAAGTACGGATATGTCTAATGAATTTACGTTAGTATGGTATACAGTATAACCTATCAAAATCGATGAAAAAATTAATCACTGTATCTTCTTCCAATATAGTAATTTTAACCTCTTAACACGTTAAACCCGATAACGATAACTTTTTAAAGCTGATGCAAAACTTGTCTACCATGCATACAGGTTTTGACAGGGTATACTGTACGTACAAGCGTGTGAGATAAATCTATCTTTTGGAATTGAGCGCCGTGTAGTGCTCGGCAAAATCAAACAAAAACTTGAAAATCAAGTTTTTGAATCTATCGATTTACAGTATTATGCTTTAATTACAAAATCTATTTTTGTTCTAAACTGACTTTAAATTTCATGATAAGTTACCACGAAGTCTAAAGTAAGATCGGATGCCTGTTAAATTTATATATTACTAAAAATAAATTTTGTATTTAATGCCCAATACTGTAAATCGATAGATTCAAAAACTTGATTTTCAAGTTTTTGTTTGATTTTGCCGTGCACTAGCGCCGTGAGCCCTTAAATAAATCTTTTTAAATAGAAATTAATTACAATTTACTGTATTAGTATATAGATACAAATTACGATTGTTAAACACGTGTTTGAGAAATTTTTGCTTTTCCAAAATTATGTGTACTGTATGTACAGTACAATTTTAATCGAACAGAGTTTTATTTTAAGTTTTAGCTGTATGCATATAATAGTTGCTATTAAGTACATATTATTCTCGATATATTATTTCTAAGCGAAGAGATTGAAAATTCTAGATCCTTATTATTGAGATTAATAAAGAAATTTACTTTAATGCATTACAGTTAGTGATGTGAGTTGGTAGCTACCGGTAGCTAACCGTGAGATTAATGATATAAAGTGGTAGATGGTTAGCAGTTTATTAAATCTGATTGGTTGATTATGGCTTGCACTATATATATATATATAGGTAGAAGAATTAGCTATACTACCGGTAGTGGTAGCTACCACCTACCGGTATATACCGGTAGAGAAATTGTGATTTGGGAAATTTCACATCACTAATTACAGTATACCCTGTCAGAACCGGTATGCATGGTAGACAAATTTTACATCAGCTTAAAGGTTATCAGATTTAAGAGGTTAAAATTACTATATTAGAAATAGACATGGTGGACCAATTTTTCATCGATCTTGACAGGTTATCAGTTTTAACAGAATCGGTTTTGACAGATTATATTGTATCTTTATAACAGATATAGAAATTCGAGGTTTTTATTTCCCGCACCGTGCATGTCCTTAAAAGGATACTACGTATTGCAATTGACATATGAATTCGTATTACAAATCACAATCAATGAATTCACATTACGTACTGTATCGTTATTGCAACTCAATAATATACATTAGCACACGTATAGATTCTTTGCTAGGTTCGTGACGCAGATTTGAATTAACAAAATTTTTAAAGTTTATTGATGTTAAGGGTTAGTATTCATATTAGGATCAGATTTTGAGAATAAGTGACTATATGATCGTTTTACATTACATAGTTCAAAACATTTGCGCTACAGATCTGCAAGACCTGGCATAAAATTATAGTAATTTTAATCTCTTAAACTAATAATCTTTTTAAAACTGATATATAATTTGTCTATAGTTTAACAGGGTATACTGTATAAAATTTGTCTACTATACATACTGGGTTTGACAGAGCATGTTATATATCAGATATATGCATAGGATACTGTATATGGGGTGTCAGTAAAAACCAAGCAAATTGTTTAGTAGGTTTTTTTTTTTAACTTTAAAAAATATCTCAACTATAACCAAACTTGATAATTTTTTTTAATCTAAAATTTAAAAAAAATTTACTTAGAAACAATTTTCTTGGTTTCTACTGACACCCCCATATATTTGATATTATCAAAATTGAATAATCACGATATAATAAAATTGTTACTATTAGTTTTTTTAAGATTTTTTTTTTTGATTAAAATTTGAATATTTTTACAAACAAGTAATACGTATTAATTTGCATAACCTAATTTTTTTATTACTTTAATAAATACTTAAGCATTATAGTTTTAGCTTATACAAATTAATAAAATGATATAGTTACAGTGGAATTCAATTAAGTAATTATTTAAATAAAAACAAAATTATATAAAACTTGTAATAAAAGTAAAATATAAAATTTAACCTTGTTAACTAATTAAATAAAATAAAAGGGAGATATACCTAATTTGACGCACGATGATATTTCGATCAGAATCACATGATTTGGTATCATTCATCGAGACGAATTGTATGGTAACAAAATCACGCAATTCTGATCAATAGTTCTCGAGATACAGTATTCAACTAAAATAACTCAAGATAGTATACCTAATTTGATGCTGATAACGTTTACAATAAAACATCACTGGATATATCAATCAGAATCGAATATCTCATCGAGACGAATTGAATGGCAACAAAATCATGCGATTCTAATTAATATATTTTATTGTAAACACTAACTGCGTCAAATTAGTCACTGTATCAAATTAGGAACATAATTTTTAGATAAACTTTAATGTGTGGTATCTCGTGATCTAATGATTGGAATTCGGTGATTTTGGTACCATTCGATTTGTCTCGATGAGACGGATCGGATGGTATCAAGAACATCCAGTTCCAATCGACACAACACGCGATATTTATCGTAAACCTTACCTGCGTCAAAATCTCTTAACTTATATTCAAAACTTACAATATAGCTTATTAGTATTATTTTATAACTTTTATTTATTTTAAATTTAGATTATTTAATTTTAATTACTTAAATATAAAATAATACAAAATCTTGATACGGAACGTTATTATATACACGTCACTCTTATATTAACACCTTGATGTAACGACATCATATAGTAATATCTTTCCATACCGACAATTTTTTTCAAAAATTTTTAATATAAGATGTCAATATATTATTATTACTAATATCTTGAATTTTTTTATTAATAAAAAAATACCAGAATTAGTGTTAAATTTTCAATTAAAATTTACTGTGCGGGATCTGCATAACTTATAAACTTTTACTGTGTGGCAAATAAAAAAAAAACTATAAGAAACTGTTGCAGTATCCGCATATCTATAAAAAAATGTGTGTGCTAAATGCAGTCTGCACAGTAAAAAATAATAACTGATCAGAGTGACGTGCAAATTAAATCAATTAATAAACATAATTATACATGTTCGTATTTTAAGTAAATGATCTGAAATATTAAGATTCTTATCAAAAAAAATTATCTTTGCAAGGAATCTTTTCTTCAACATTAGCTTTATGAATTATTCTAATTTCACTTCCATTACTCCAATGTTCGATTGCACAGTCGATTCAGCAATAATACAACCACTCAGAAGATCTAATAAATTTCTTCCCGGTAGTTCTACGGACCTTTATATTATTTGATTCAAGATTTTCTTTGATCAAGTGCCAGAAAGCATTAGGGTCTTGGGAAAAAAAAGCACGTAGGAAGGATTTATGATAAATAATATATAATTATAATGGTAACAATTGTTATTCTTACCTAAGGATTATTAATGGCACTACTACAAAGAATAACTTCTCCTTTCGAGCAATAAAAGCTACACGCATAGTACCATTACAAAAATATTTTACGCCAATTGCACATTTTTTTTCTTCATTCTCCTCATTCCAAATAATATTTAGTACATAAGCAAATGCATATCGGCGGTTTTGCGGAATTGGGTTTACACGGGCGTATAAAACGAAACCTAAATTTCAGTGATTAAAAAATGTACATTGTAAATTTTTTATTACGTGATGTATATGAAAGTAATTTAAGGAGCAGGGATGTTGAATTGCGAATACAGTCCGGCCCGATCCTAGGATTTAAAAGAACTCGATCCTTAAATCACATGAAAACATAATAGGACCTGAATTGAATCTATCAAATAAGTTCATCTAATCAAATTAATTTTGTATTGTTATAATAATTCAGTTCAGGATCTAAGACATATAAGATGTATTGTGTTTTCATGTGATTTAAGGACCTATCCTTCGATCCTTTCAAGGATTCGGTTGGGACCCGATCCCAAAGGACCTATTAACGTCCTATTAGGAGTAATTAACAATAACGATGCGAACTTAAATTTTAATTTAATTTTGTATCGCTATTGTTAATTACTCCTTAAATTATTTATTATACACATTCCGTAATAAAAAAAAAAACTTACAT